ATTAAAAATTGACTATAGTTGTGCGTCCAACAACAGAAACAGTGTCCCGATTTTTCTTCACAGCTGTGTCTTAATAAAAGAAACGTTCTAAGTCCTAAATCATATAAGATGGATTTTACATCCAGAACCTGAAGGCTCCCCACTTCCAAGCTCTATACAATCTTGAAAACATGACCGACAGTTTAGTGCTAAACTGTAAATGATGTGAATAATACATTATGGTTCATTTACCGTCGGCTTCCCTCTGTGTCCAGCAGACGAACTTGCTCCACAGTTATGGCTGGACGCAACACAGTCTCTCACAAACCTGAGGAGATCCCTGAGGTTTAAATGAAGGACACTCACCTGAGAGAGGCGAGCTCACAGTGAGACTCCGCAGTCCACACACAGCACAGACACAATTTAGTCACTCAGTTCATAACGACTCTGATACCATTTCAGTGAGAAGGGAGGTGGCTGGAGAACTCAGCGCTGAATGCCACCCACTTCACAGTCACGGTCTCTTATGCATTCTACAGTCACACAACCTTAAACAGACGTTAGAATAGATAAATAAGCGTTAGAGACTGATCAGACTAGAAGCAGTTTGTTGAGGACTGACCGAGCCTTCCTGCAGTTCCTCACAGCAGGGATCAGTCTCCTACTACCTTACTGCCGACGTGTTGTACTTCTTTAGTCCATTCCTCCAGGACCATTGGTCGACATCTCGGCATGTAGGCCAAGCAAGCACCAGGAACACAGACAGTTCGTCTAGCTGAGTCCCTTCCAGACTTTCAGGAAAAGCGGATCACTGCAGTAGAGACTGTCCTTCCATCTCCATCAGACATGGAAGATGATGATGCTATCAGTCAGAAGACTCCTCCTCTGCGCTCATCTCTTTGAGGTTTTCAATGACTTTGTGTATTACTGACTGATTCACTGAGATTCAGCAGACATGTTAAAGTCTATGGATGGAAGTCCAACTGAGCCTGAAGGAAGCACCACAAACAGGTCCAGGCGACCGTTTGAACCACTCAGGGATTTATAAAGAGACTTTCTGCGAAACTCCCTTGCCCTTAACTATTTCTGAGTCTTTTCACAGAGAAACTTCTCAACGACTGCAATGTCCACTTCCAAAGCAGTGCAGCAGGTAAACCGCTGCCACAGAATCCCTGAGACACTCAGGTGGACTAAGCGTAGACAGATTGGGTTGAAGACAACACTTTCTTGTTTGAAAGATCTCTGTACAGAGTCCTGAGTAGACCGAGGCCCTCGGTCGAGTCCAGTCCACCTGCCCAGGCCATCCTGGCGTATGCACAATAAGTAATCCTTGCATCAGATGTTCAAAGGCAGTCTGCCCAGCAGATCAGGAGGAGTCTGCTTTCTGTCGGACACCACTGTTGGATCTTGTTTCAGCTTCTGAACCTGACCAGACCAAAAACTGCTTTCTCTGAAACGGGCCTCAGGTCTCGTTGGTAATTCTCTATCTGTTGTGTCTGACACCAATAGGACAGCCAGCGAACATGTCGCTGGAGTCTGGGGCAGGCTCCGCTTCGATCGTTCTCAACATGTGGTCCAGGAGGTGTGCGTGATCCCAGACAGAAGATGGGCTCTGACACATGATGTGGAGACTTGCGGAGCTTCTGATGTGGGACAGACTAGTCTTACACTGCCTCTTCATCTTGAACTCCCTTCCTGAAGTACTGCCTCCTTCTGACGCACAGTGATGAAGCCTCTGACCCTCTTGACTCTGTGCACACTTCTGTGCTTGGATCTGTGATGGCTGCTGCTGGTCTGGAGGTGATCCATATAAGGCAGTATGAGCGAGGCCTCAGATGAGGTTCACTATCATGCACTGACGTCTGAGCTCTGTGTGACCTCAGAGATGAGCTCACCTGTCAAAGTCCCAGACCCATTCCTGCTCCTCTCCAGGCCGGTCTAAGAGAAGAGGAGTTAGAGACGGACAGAGAGTGTGAGAGAGAGTCTGTTGACACAAGAACAGACAGTTACCAAGTCATACATGAATAAAGAATTCAGAGCAGTTTCTGCGCATGAATGCTCATGTGACATCAGTTTTGACGCAGGCACAGGGAATGAAGGGTGTTAATTATAACGTTTTATTAGATACTGATTACCAAACGCCATCCAGCTCATGGCTGGGAGAAGTTCTCAGTTGTGTTAACCACTATAATAAATTGTTTGGAAAGTACACACTGTGAACTGGAACCTGAAGCAGAAGATAAGACACCTGTTTTTTTCCAGCGCTGGATGGAACAATTGATATGAGCTCCTCAGACTGTAGCGCTGCCCTTTCACCAGTTCACTCTCTGAAGGACAGCGGCCACCACAGCTCCAGCTCCTGGTTCTCGACCCCTGAGCCCATTTTCAGACAGAACTTCAGGACTGAGAAGGTCTTCCCCACTCCAGCCACGCACAGGTCAGCAGCTGTCAGATGGACAGTGGTCGCCCCTGCTGCTCCTCAGTGGGGCAATGGCTTAAAAAGATGTCCTGAAACATGATGAGTTTCCGCAACAGTCTTCTAGGAGAGTTCCCATCAGCACTGCCCACATGCTGGAGCAGTCTTCATGGAGAGTTTCCTCATCCTCTGCTCCTCATGCTGGACATCTTCTTGAGATTTTTCCCGTCAAGCCTCCGCTCTCATGCTGGGCTGTGGGTGTTCCCACTGAGCCCTCTGTGATGATACAGCTCAGTGAAGAGCTGTTCAGAGGAGTATTTCCTGCTCCTTCTTTCCCTCGGCCACACTCCACCTCTGCTGAACAGACGCTGTTTATGATTCCTGCAGAAGCTATCTGAGCTCTTCATCTGAGAGAGGAATGCAGACTTAACAGTTTAATCATGTGTTTCTTATATATATTACTCTATTTCAGCACTGTTTCATTTAGAGCTTATTCCCGCCCCCCCTGTCATTCCAGAGTCCTCCTTTTATCTGTGAAAGATGTAAGACTCATCAGAGTCTTTACTTTCAGCATTTTAGTGGCACAGTGCACCAGACAGTAACTCATCCAACTTCCTGCAGTATTGGCATAAAATATATCTTTATGTGAACACTTATGTACATGGATTCTTTTGTGATTTGATTCTTAACCAAACGGTCAAAGAATCCTAAAAACATCTTAAACATTGTCATAGAGTATTCCGAGTAGATTGACATAAACATGAAACCGTTGAGATATTACACCTGTAGAAATGAAAATTTTAGTGATGCACCGATATGAACACTTTGGCCGATTTTGATATCCTATATTAATGTATCTCAACATTAATGGCCGATAACCAGTATGTGCTGATAACAGAATTTTTTATAACATAATAATCATAATAATTCTGAGATGATAAAAGTTTGTACATACTGAATTTATTTCACTTTATTCAGAATGTATTTTATTTTTAAGTTAAAAATGGGCGATGTGGGAAAAGGCACACAGGAGCTTTTTGTGGCTCTTATTTGAGTGAAAACTATCTTTAATGCAGCGTAATGGAAGTAATTTATAAAAAGAGTAAATGAAAAAAATAGACAAAACAAATAGTCACCAAAATAATTAAAACATTAAAAACTAGATAAGGTTTAACATGTATATAAAAGTGGTACATTTCATGCTATATTAAACTGTTTGTTTCATACAGATGATTATAGAGTCTGTAATCGAGTATCCCTCTAGCAAGCCTGAACATGGATTGATGAAACATCGGCTGATAATCTATATTTTAAACCAATATACGTGCTTCATTGCTGTTTGAAAATGATATAAAAGTGAAAGAGGTGGAATACTTTTCAGGAGTCATGGTGTCAGACTGGGTTTAGATCCACTTCTCGTTATATACAGATTAAACAGGAGGAAAGTTTCTTATAAATGAAGAAATTAAAGGTACAGACTCAGTAATTTTACACTTGTTCCAAATGAAAAACATCTAAAATGAGACCTTACGATATTCTCCTCCACTATCATTTGTGAATAGTTTTGTTAAAGGAATAGTTTTTAGAAAGTCTCCGAGAGAATTAAGTGCGCGACGTAAGCAGCCCTAACTTCTCTCCGGAGACATCCTCTCCGCTGCTACTGTGTGTACTACAAGTCACGCTGCTTCTATGACGAAAGAGAGCGAGAGAGTAAGTCTCCGGAGGAGAAGTTTAGTGCGCGGACGTACGCACCTCCGATTACTACGCCGCACATATAGTACCCGTTTTAATCCGCTGAGAAAATCGACTGATTCATTTCTGAGTTACTAACTTTTGCAGTGTAACACGTACACTAACTATATACATTAATTGAGGTTTGGGGGGGAGGGGAGGGGGGGGGAGGGGGGGGGGTGCTGAGGGGGGGGGGGGGGAACACTTGGCAGATTTTGGTAGCTTCTAGCGGGGATTGGGAGCCTACCTTTGGTTACTATACAGTGACCAGTAGGAGGCTGCGAAGTGCTCCCGTTTTTGCTCCGTTGGCATGACGTAGCGACGGACTAAGCCCAACAGGTACTAATTAACTAGTCTACGGTAAAGGTAAACCATATGTCCGTAAAGAAAAACGGGTGAACTTAATTCCTTTAAAGGCTTAGAATGTGCCTATAAATGGTCCATGAGGCTTCGAAGTCGCGCCGTGTGAATTCACCATCATCAAACACACACAAACAAAAGAGACAAAAAGGGACGTGCGTTACTCGAGTTTTGTGATCTCACCGGTGATACTATAACAATTTTGTTGGCTCACTTTAAACAGCCGTGGCGTCTCAGCGAGTTGACTGTACAAATATCGATCGTCACACGTATAGATGGTGAAAAAAGACTATCTTTAAAGCCATTTACATGCATTTGTTTATACGCTGTGAGTTCGGTCACATTATAATCCTGATGGAAACATTTAACTGCAGAACAACAATTACAAAGTACCAACAGTTATCTTTGACTGGAGGTGCATTGTGTGTTTTCTACCTCTGTCATAAACAGGGACACAGACCAACCTTGTGAGCGACTCTGCGGGCTTGGGTCCCTGAGGACTTGGGCCCTGAGGTCACTTAGGTCCCTGATTGTCTTGGGCCCTGAGGATCTTGGCCCTGATGTCTTGGGCCCTAGCGTCTATGGCCTGAGGGCTTGTGGCCCTGAGGTCCTTGGGTCCTGAGGTCTTGGTCCCTAGAGTTCTTGGGCTCTGAGGTCTGGGCCCAGGAGGTCTTTGGGCCCTGAGGTCTTGGCCCTGAGTCTTGGGTCCTGAGGTCATGGCCCTGAGAGTCATGGTCCTGAGGTCTTGGGTCCTGAGCCTTGAGGTCCTGAGTCCTTGGCCCTGGGTCTGGAGTCCAGCAGTAAGTTTTCTTCCTCTGACAAAACATTGGGTTTGTATTTAGAGCTGTAATGGTTTATTAAAAGTATATAAATAACATTGAAGAGACTTTGTGTCTAGTAAAGGTGATGTTGGTGTGTGTTTGACCTCCGTAGTGTAGCTGTGTCCATATGGTACGCTGCTGATCTGTGTCTACAGAGCTCCAGGTATCAATGGTTCTGTATGTTATCTGGTGCGGGGGTCCCACAGCAGAGAACACCTCCTCCACACGAGATCCTAAAGCATGGTAGAAAGGGGGGGGGGGGGTGGGGGGGGGGGTGGGGGGGGGGGGGTGGTGGGGGGGGGGGGGGGGGGGGGGGGGGGGGAGGGGGGGGGGAGGTGGGGGGGGGGGGGTGGGTGGGGGGGGGGGGGAGGGGGGGGGGGGGGGGTGGGGTGGTGGGGGGGTGTGGTGTATATTAGGGGGGGGGTGGGGGGGGGAAAGACAACTGTGATGAGACTGAAGCACCATGAAACATGCAGCTCTCACTACAAGGTCAAATGTTGCAACAAATATACCCGACTTTATTTCCACAAAAGCACATTATAAAAATACACAGTTCATTGTCCATGGAACCATGAACCCACTTTTTCAATGTGATGTGTTCAATGTTTAATCCACTGGTGCTTCAATGACAAGCCTCACTCTGTCCAGTCGTAAACATTAAATTTAAATGTAATCTAAAGTCAGACAGTGTAAAGGCGCGTTCAGACCAACACGCTTCAAAAAGCTTTTGACGCGCTTCAAGCAGACGCCAAGATAGTTTTGTCATTTTGGTGCTGAAGCATTTGACGCAGTGACGCGCCTTCTGACGCCGTTGGAGGAGCTTCCATCTGTTGTCTGTAGTCAAGGACGCGTTGATTTTTCAATGAGCAGCGAGCCCTTTATTTGTTATCATAAAGCAAAATAACATTGTTGTAGGGGCTTCACAAAACAGTTCTAAGTATCACCACAGACTTAGAAGGGCTGCAGTTTTTTGCAGAGTTTCCGTCATTTACTCAGGAAGCTGCGTACGGAGAGTTTTTCGTCTATTCAAGCGGTACTCTCCGCATGTCACCGCCCAGTCTGAGTTCTCAAACCCCGGAGCTCGCCACTCCCGCCTCGCTCTCGCCTCTCCCCCGCCATCTCGCCTCGGCCTCTCCCTGCGCCTCTCCCCGGCTCTCGCATCGCCTCGTCCCGCATCGCTACCGCCCCTCCCTGCCTCTCCCCTGCTCTCCGCACTGTTCTCCTGCCTCTCCCCGTGCTCTTGCTCTGAGCCGACTCATCGTCAGCCTGTTCTTATATTAAATAAACTACATTTACTACAGCATGTGTTCGTAAGATTTTTGTTTTTACTCAGAACGTTACTACTCATACAAATAATAGCATTTACTCATAACAATAAGACAACAAAACAGACAGCAACAGAAACATGACTTCTCATCATGACAGAGACAGACCCGCAGCGGGCTGACAGCTCCCTCGCGTACTCCTGATTGGTTAAGCCCCGTCCAAAGCTTCAAAGCTCAGCTTTGCTCAGCTTCATGGCGACCAAGGGAATTGTGTTGATAACGCGAGCGTTTACGCGCGTGTCAAAAGCTTCAAGTGAGCGCGTAAGTTAACTTTTGAAGCTTTGACGCGCGCCAAGTGACGCCGGGGCTCACGCTTCCACTGACGCGCGTTCACCATTCACTTCAATGCAAACCTGACGCTCTGAACGACCGAAGTTAATCCGGTGGAACGCCCCTTTAGTGTTTCCTTGTCTCCTGTGGTTAGAAGAAGCATCTTCAATAGAACTCATGGTGATTCCACATAGACCCCGTCACTCTTCAGGGACACAGCACTGGACACTGTAGGATCTGGATTATGGGGTGGGGGGAGAGAAATCCACATGTTACTCTGGAGTCCAGGATTCAACTCATGCCAACAAACAGGTAAGAAATGTTGTTTTAAATGCATTTACGATAGGACTAAAGACAGGCCAGAGAGACACAAGAGAGGACAAGAGAGAGAGATAAGCATACAGTAGGTACCAGAGCGAGAGAGACCAAAGGATGACCATAGGCGAGAAACATCACCAACTTGTTTATTTAAGAATTCTCAAAGAAAAAAACTGTAAGAAGAGAGAGCGCCAAATAACACGAATTATTCTCTGGTTATTAATATGAGAGAGAAGGATTCCACTGGGAGTCCTCTCTCTTGTCCTCTCTTTCCGCTCTCCGCTTATCCGTCTCTCAGTCCCTCTCTGGTCTGCTAGATTTAGTCCCATCGAAATGCATTAAAAACACATTTCTTAAACCTGTTCTGTTGATGGTTGACCCATGACCCCTAGTAACAAGGTCTTTCTCTCCACACAGAAAAAATCCCCTCACTGTCCAGTGCTGTGTCCCTGAAGAGTGACGGTTCCTATGTGGAATCCACCAGAGTTCATTCTTGTAAGCTGCTTCTTCCAAACCCACAGTGAGACAAAGGAAACACTAAAGGGTGCGTTCCACACCGACATTTTTTTTTTATTAACACTTTTTCACGGGCCCCACGGGTTTTCCCCCAAAAAAAAAATACGTCAGGTTTGCATTTGAAAGGAATGGTGAAGCTGCGTCAGGTGAAGCCGAGAGCCCGTCTTCACTTGGCGCCGGTCAAAGCTTCAAAAGTACTAGACGCGCGTCACTTGAAGCTTAGACACGCGAAACGCTCGCGTATCAAAACACTCCCGTTTGACGCCGAAGCTAGCAAAGCTGAGCCTTTGAAGCTTAGACGCGGGGCTTCAACCAATCCAGGAGACGGAGGCGCAGCAGCAGCAGCGAGTCTGTCTTCTGTCATGACGAGAAGTCATTATCTGTTGCTGCGCTGTTTTGTTGTCTTTATTGTTTATTAGTAATTATTTGTATGAGTATAACGTTCGAGTAAACAACAATAATAGAAAACATGAGCTTAAGTAGTAAATTGTAGTTTATTTAATATAAGACAAGCTGACGAATTAGTCTGGCTCAGAGCAAGAGCCGGGAGAGGCAGGGAAAAAGAGCGAGAGCCGAGGGTGGAGGCAGGGAGAGGCGAGAGCGAGGCGGGTAGAGGCACGAGAGCCGGGGAAGGCAGGGAGATGCGTACGAGAGGTGCGGGGAGAGAGCGAGAGCAGGCGGGGAGAGCGAGCTCACGGGTTTGAGAACTCAGACTGGGCGGTGACATGGCGGGAATGTACCGCAGAAGAGCGAAACATCCTCCGTACGCAGCTCCTTGGAGTAAAATGGACTGAACTCTGCAAAACCTAGCGCCCATCACAAGTCTGTGGTGAACCCAAGGAACAGTTATGTTGAAGCCCTACAACAATGTTATTTTGCTTTATAAACAAATAAAAAGGCTCGCTGCTCATTGAAAAATGTCCAACGCTGTCCGACTACAGACAACAGAGAAGCATCCTCCCAGCCGCGTCAGGCGCGTCACTCGCAGTCAAAAGCTTCACGCACCAAATATGACAAAACAATCTGGCGTCAGCTGAAGCGCGTCAAAAGCTATTTTGAAGCGTTTGGTCTGAAACGCGCCTTAATCACAGATCTGACTTTAGAATTACATTTATATTTAAAGTTTACGACTGGACAGAGTGAGGCTTAGTCATAAGCAATCACACAGTGGATTAAACAATGAACACTCACATGTGAAAAGAGGTTCATGGTCCATGACAATGGAACTGTGTGTATTTTTAGGTAATGTGGCTTTTGCGAAATAAAGTGTAATATTAGTTGCAGAAACAATTGACCTGTAGTGAGAGCTGCATGTGCTCATCCTGTTCTTCAGTCTCATCACAGTGGTTCTTACCAATGCTTTATGATCCAGTGTTTAGGAGGTGTTCCTCTTGCTGTGGGACCCCCGCGAACGCAGAAAACATACAGAACCAATGATCCTGGAGCTCTGTAGACACAGATCAGAAGGAAACAACTGACTACTCAGCCTACAACTACGAGTTCCCAAACACACAACCCACAAACAACATCACCTTACTACACAACAAAGTCTCATCATTGTTAATTATAATACTTTTAAATAAACATTATACAGCTCTAATAGCCAATTTTTGTCCAGAGAAAACTCACTGCTGGACGCCAGCCGCAGGCCCAAGACCTCAGAGCCCCAGACCCTCAGGACCCCAAGACCTCAGGACCCAAGACCTCAGGCCCCACGACCTCAGTACCGCAAGACCAGAGGCCCAAGACCCTCAGGCCCAAGACCCTCAGGGCCCAGAACTCCAGAGCCCACGACCTCAGGGCCCAAGACCCACAGGACCAAGACCTCAGGGCCCCAGACCTCAGAGGCGCCCATACCTCAGGCCCACAACCCTCAGGCCCAAGACCTCAGGGCCCAAGACACTCAAGGCCCAAGACCCTCAGGGCCCACAGACCTCAGGCCAAGCCCACAAGCGACACATGGTTTGTCTGTTTCCCTGTTTATGGACCAAGGTACGAAAACACACAATGCACTCAGTTCAAAGAACTTTTAGTGTCACTTTTTGTAATTGTTTTACTGCAGAAATTGTTTCCATCGTAGGTTTATCAGCATAACCCCCAGACACAGGATATAAACAAATCAAGAAAAGGCTTTAAAGATAGTCTTTTTTCTCCATCCCCCCCCCCTTTTAAAAACATGTTGAGTAACTATGATTTTACAGTCAACACTCGGACGCCACGCAGTAAAGAACACCGATATAAGTATCACCTGTGAGATACACAAACTCATACCCTACCACAGTCCATTTGGTCCTCTTAGTTTGATGTGTAGGTTTGACGATGGAGCATTCACACGGAGCGACTCTCCAGCCCACATAGGACATTTATAGGATCACTCTACCCTTTAAAAGGAATAGTTCACCGTTGTTACATACTGACATATGTTTGCTACCTTAACCTTAGACTAGTTAATACGTTACATGTCCTGGTCTTAGTCCGTGCGCTCTGTCATGCAAACGGAGCAAAAACGGGAGCACAACGCCGCCTCCTCTGGTCACTGTATAGTCCCCAAAGGTAGCCTCCCGCTAGAAGCTACCAAACCATCCAAGTGATTCCGATTAATGTATATAGTTACGTGACTGTTAAACTGCAACGTATAGTAACACAGAAATGTAACAGTCGCAATTTTTCTCAGCGATAAAACGGGTACTGATAGTTTGAGAGCGTAGTAAATCTGAGGTGCGTCTACGTAGCCGCGGTGCACTAACTTCTCTCCGAGACTTCTCTCACCTCACTTCCGTCAATAGAACAGCGTGACTAGAAGTACACACAGTAGCACGCGAGAGAGTTACCTCCGCGAGAATTCGTGAGCGCTACGTCCGCGCACTAAACTTACTCACCGTAGACTTCTAAAAACTATTCCTTTAACAACTATTCCACAAATAAGAGAAGGAGAATATTCTTCAAATAAGGTCTCATTAGATGGTTTTTCATTTGGGAACAAGTGTAAAAATACTGGAGTCTGTACCATTAACATCTCCTCAATTATAGAAACATTTTCCTCCTGTTTAACTCTGAATATAACGATACTGGACAAACCAGATCTGACACCTGCTCCTGAAAGTATTCCACCTCTTTCACCTTTATATCATTTTCAACAGTAGAAGCACGATATCTTGGTATAAATATAGATATCACCGATGTTCAACAATCCCAAAAAATTTTTTTTTTTTCAGGCTTGCTAGAAGATACTCAGATTACAGAAACTCTAAATCATCTTTATGAAACACAACAGTATTATTATAGCATGAAATGTACCACTTTTAAATACTATGTTTAACCCTTATCTAGTTTTTAATGTTATCAAGTTTTTATTGGTGACTAATATTCTTGTCTATTTTTATCCATACTCTCTTTTATAACTACTACCTACGCCTGCATTAATGATAGTGTTTTCACTCAAAATAAGAGCCACAAAAACTCCTGTGTGCCTTTCCCCACAAAACGCCCATCGTCAAACTAAAATAAAATACATTCTGAAATAGAAAATAAATTCCAGTTATGTAACAAAACTTTTATCATCTCAGAATTATTATTAGTATTATTTAATAAACAGCGTTATCAAGCAAATACTGTTATATCATCGCCAATAATAGAAACATTAATATCGGATACAAAATCGCGCAAAGTGTTCATCAATCGGGCATACCCCTAATTTTCATTTCTAACAAGTTAGTAATCTCCCGGGTTTTCATTTTCCTGTCAATCTACTCCCCGAATACTCTATGACAAATTTAAGATGTTTTTTAGTGATTCTTGCCGTTTGGTTAAGAATCAAACACAAAGAATCCATGTAAATACATTGTCAAATAGTCCGAAACTGCATAAGGTTGATGAGTACTTTCTGGATGCACTGTGCCACTAAAGCAGAAAGTAAACTCTGCTGAGACACTTACATCTTTCACAGATAAAAGAAGACTCTGGAAACAGGGGAATACAAGCTCTAACATGAAACATGCTGAATAGAAGTAATCGATAAAAAAACACATGATTAAACTGTATACGATCAGCATTCCACTCACCAAAGAAAGAGCTCCAGCAAGCTTCTGCAGGATGTCTAAACACCGTCTGTATCATCAGATGTGGTGAGTGTGGCCGAGAGGAACAGAAGGAGCAGGACTGTACTATCCTCTGAACACATCTTCACTGAGCTTACTTCACAGAGGTCCTCAGTGAACAAACCACCAGCCCAGCATGAGGAGCCCGTGAGGCTGAGGGAACTCTCCAAGAAGACTGCCCAGTCATGAGGATCATAGGCTGAGGTGAACCTCCATGAAGACTGCCATCATGAGTGACAGACCGAGGCTGAGGATCTCTCCAAGAAGCAAGTGCAGGACACCTCCATCAGTTGTCAGAAATTCTTTAAAGCACTGCCCACGTGAGGATCAGCAGGGGGCGCACAGTCCATCAGAGCATTGCTGACCTGTTGCGTGGCTGGAGTGGGGGAAACCTTCTCAGTCCTGAAGTTTCTGTCTGAAACTGGCTCCAGCGGCTCATGAGAACCAGGAGCTTAGGAGCTTGGTTGGAACCGCTGTCCTTGCAGAGAGATGAACCTGGTGAAAGGGCAGCGCTACAGACCTGATGCAGCTCATACAAGTGTTCCAACCAGCGCTGAAAAACAGGTGCTTAACTTCTGCTTCAGTCCAGTTCACAGTTGTTTTACATTCAAACATTATTATAGGTGTTTATAACACAACTGAGAACTTCTCCCATCCCCTGAGCAGATGGCTTTTGACTCAGTAACTAATAAAACGTTATAAAAACACCTTCATTCCCTGGTGTCAAACTGATGTCACATGATCATCATGCTCAGAAACAGCTCTGTCATTCAGCATTAATGACTTGTGTCACTTCATGTTCTTGTTGTCCACAGACTCTCTCTCTCCCACACTCATCTGTCCGTCTCTAAACTCCACTTCATCTAGACGGCCTGACGAGAGCAGACTGGGACACTGGTCCTTTGTGACTGATAGCTCATCTCGTGAGTTCACACAGAGCTAGACAGTCATGTTCTGCTAGTGAACCACATCAGAGGCACCTCGCTCCTACTGCCCTTATAGAGGATCACCTCCAGACCAGCCTCACCATTCAGATTCCCAGCACAGAGTTGCACAGAGTCCACAGAGGTCAGAGGCTTCATCACTGAGCGCAGAAGGAGTCATGTAACTTCAGGAAGATGTTCACCGAGATTAAGACATGTAAGACAAAAGTCCTGTCCCACAACAGAAGCTCCCCAGCCTCCACATCATGTGTCAGATCCCCATCTTCTGCCTGGAGACATCACCGCCAACCCGGCCCTGGACCACATGTTGAGAACCGATCGAAGCGGAGCGCTGACCCCCAGACTCTCACTACATGGTTACGCTCAGGCTTCCAATTGGTGCAGACCAACAGATAAGAGAAAATACCAACCGGACCTGAGGCCCTTTTCAGACAGAAAAGCAGTTTTTGGTCTGGTCAGGATCAGAACTGAAACAAGATCCAACAGATAGGTGTCCGACAGAAGCAGACATCCCCCAGAAGCTGGCAGACTGGCCTTGAATCATCATCTGCAAGTAAAGCAAAATGGTTCTACCAGAAAGACCGAGCAGGTGGGACTGGAACCTGACCGAAGGCGTCGGTCCTAACGCAGGAACTCATGTCACAGAGATCTTCACAACAAGAAAGTGTTTTGTCTTCCAACCAATCTGTCTTACAGCATCGTCCACCTGATGTGTCCAGGAGTTCATGGCAGCGGTTTACCTTCTGCACTTGCTTTGTAAGTGACATGCATGTGCGTTTGAGAATTTTCTCTGAAAAAGACTCCATACAAAGTTAAAGTGCAAGTTGAGTTTCTCAGAAAGTCTCTTGATAAATCCATGATTGGTTCAAACGGTCCCTGGACCTGTTTGTGTGCTATCCTTCATGGCCTCAGATCTGGACTCCAACCAAGACTTTTAAAAGGACTGCTGAATCCATGCAACAGTCAGAAATCCCAAAGTCATTTGAAAACATCAAAGAGATGAGCTCAAGAGGAGGAGTCTCAGACAGAATCATCTCATCTTCCACATGTCTGACTACAGGAGAAGACAGGACCAGTCTCTCCTGCAGCTGGTTCCAGCTTCTCCTGAAGTCTGGAAGGACTCAGCAAAGCGAACTGTCTGTGTTCCAGTGCTCTGAGCTCTGAGGCCTACATTCTGCAGATGCAGACCAGGGTCCTGGAGGAACTGGACAACCAAAGAAGTAACAACACGTCTGCAGAAGGTTTGTAGGAGACTGATCCCTCTGTGAGGACTGCCAGAAGAGCTTCGGACAGATCTCCCAAACTCTTCAAGTCCTGATCAGACTCTAACATACTTCAAATCTAACGTCTGTTTACAGGTAGACTTACTTGTAGACTCTCAGCGACCGACTGTGAAGTGGTGCATCAGCGCTGAAGTCCAGCCCCTCCCTTCTCACTGAACTGGCTCGAGTCGATAATTAACTGAGTGACTCAATAGTGTCTGTGCTGTGGCTGGAACTGGCGGAGAGTCCCTCACTGTGAGGAGTGAGCTCTCTCACCCTCTCTCAGGTGATGATCCTTCATTTAAACCTCAGTATCCTCACAGTTTGGAGAGCTTGTACCGTACCACATAAACTGTAGGGAGCAAGTTCCTCCTGATACACCGAGGGAGCAGCACACACACCGAGTTAAAAAGAACCATAATGTATTTTTCACATCAATTACAGTTTAAGCACTAAACAGTGGTCATGTTTATCAAGAAGTATAGAGCTGAAGATGGGACGAGCAACAGGTCTGGAGTAAAATCCATCTACAATGATTAAGGCTAGAACGTCTTTAATAAGACACAGCTGTGAAGACAACATCAGGGACCACTTTTACTGTTAGTTATGGAAAACGCAAAACTATAGTCCACTTTATAAATGTGATATATTCACAATATAAGCCTTTAATATAAAGCCTCATTGGTGTCTGTATAATTCCTAGACTTAAATCATAAAAAGATGTTTCATCTCTTCCTTAACTATTATTCATTCTTCACTAAGTGGATGTTTCCATGAATGCATCACTGTTTTAAACATATAGTTTTATTCAGTAAAAATGGGTCAGTATTTGTCTGAGGCTTCTAGCATTTAGGCCTAATGTGTCCACGCAGCTGTGTCATGGCAACCTGAGGCCCCTCTGTGACTTCAGGAACCTTCTTTAG